AATTGTTTAATTACGCCTATGATAGAATCTAGATTACGGTATTAAGGGATTTTCCTGAAGTTCCAAAGGGGAGGCTCCGATGTTCTTTCATCTCCGATATATATTTATTTATTTATCCATTTTCATACGCACGTACGAAAATATCTACAAATTATTTCGTATTTACCCACGCCTCCGAACGTGGGTTTCTTTTTGGCTTTAGAAATGAGTCTGTTTTTCTCAATCTGTTTTTTATTGTAGTTCCTTGTTCGAAAATGACTGAAACATGCCAATCTAATGATGAGGAGTATTCATTCAGAAAGAAGAATTTGCAATAATCTTGCGAAATTACGCAGCAAAAGTCAAAATATTTGCGATGATCCTTCTGACAGCAAGGGTGTGGTATCGAGAAAAAACTGGCTGTTCACCTTTCGCTTCCCCGTCGACTGACTCAAGACTGGCGAAGAATTCAAAATAAGATGGAGTCGACCGGGCAGACAGTGAGGGATGCGGCCTGGAGGAGGCCTTGGAGGCAGATTCTTCGTCGACACGAATAAGCTCTTCCAGGCTAACCTAAACCACTCCCTCCGATCGCAGGACTTAACGTTCCAAAGTCTGGTGTTGCGGGGGGTCGGCCTGGCGGTGGGGCTATGTTGGAACTAAAATCGTAAGGCAAGGGATTAAGAACTATTATATTATATACAACTTCACTGTCACGGACGAGTTCAATTTCAACATGATTTTTATAGTCCTTGATTGTCGAAGTCTATCTATACGATTTGACTTCCAAACAGCTGAAATATGCATGTACATGTACTGATGTATAACATATTAGTGGCACAATTATTGATTATTATTAAGTATATAATAAGTACTTGTAACTGTAACGAAATAGCCTCATTCTATAATTTTCTTCATAATTCTTTTTCAAAACTTATCCTTCTTCCGCATTATCTTCCCACATTTTGATAAAAATTATAATTCTTATTTATATATTCAAATGTGATAAAGTAACAAGGCAGATTCTTCTATTAATAAAGAAATATACTTTTGTACTTCTTTGACATTTTTCATGTGAATTATAATTTTCATTTTAAATAACATAAAAAAAGGATGTGGAAGGAATGACTTTTAAAAAAGAATCTGGTTGTAACAAATTTTTCTTTCTTGATTAACAAAATTGCGGAGAAGAAAAATTCAGATTACTAGGAACAGTTAGTGCATACTTTTGTTACATATATTTATTTATTAATCAAAGTAATTGAATTAAATTTTTGCCGATATTTGAATGGCGTAGAAATGCACGTTTCTTGGGCGTGACGTATATGACGTCATTTTAATCCTTGTACAAGGTTAAGTGTGATCGAATCACTGAGCCTTCTCAATATGGTCTGACTTTAAAGTGAAATACACGTCACGCATGCCCTACTGTTCATTAGCAGATTAGCACGATAGTTTGCTACAAAGAAAAGAGAAGCACCAACGATTTTCAGCACCAGCGCCACATAGTTGAAATCGTTTAAACTGTATGTAGCTGCTGTTCGAGCGAAGCAGTCCTTTGTAGAATTCGATCACGAAAGGACTTGTAAATCGCTCATGCGAAATAATTAATTTGCAAGTTAGTAATTTGCGTTCGGAAATATGTTATATAAAATATGTTAAAGTAAAAATATTATCTTCGAACTAATTGTATTATTTATATTGTTCATTATATTGCACAATCATGTTCGTTCTTTATTCATTCTTTTTTCATTCAACTTCATTCTGTATTATCTGGATAAAGATTCCCATTATTTTGTTCATCACATGGAATCAACGCAGCATACTCATTGTCCTTCGTGTAAGTGTAAATCATCCCGAATTTGGAAAGACAGTGGGATTCTCGAATGACATTATTTCTTTTGCATTAGATTCTCCACAGGGAAATTTCAACTCAAACAGTTGAGTAAAATGCTGCCCAACCTCAAGGAGAAAAAAGCAAGAAACTCTCGGCTCCCTATGTAGAGGTCCAGGGTGGATCCCTTAGGCCAAGACTAGCCATAATGAAGCTGATTATCCTCTTTTCTGCTGATATCAAAGAGGTTGTAAACGAAACAAAACTATATCGCGGAGAAGTTGCCCACAGGGAGTACTTATGCCATACTTTAGTATGCCAATAACAAATCCGATAAGTCACATAATCCGATAAAGCTTCCATTTCAAAGACTGTCGAAATTTCGCGAAGAGTTTGATAACTGCAAACACTTCGCGGATTTACTCGGAACGCCAATGATAGAGTACGAATATATAAAGAACAAAATGCATTTACAATATTTGATTACGTCTCCCGAGAATGAAGCATGTGCGATAGCGTCTGCTATCAGTGTGACAATAATATTAAAATCGCATGGAAAACGTTGAAGGAAAAATATGAAAACGAAGGAGTCTTGCTTTCTTCGCTGTTAAGCTGTACAGGCTGTTCAGGCTGATTACACTAAGTTCAAACAAACGCCAGCTTCATTGCACAGCTTTGATTGTAAAGTGAACGAGGCAAGTCGATCGTAATTCACTTATTGACGCAGAGTTAGATGAGGAATAAATGTGCGTGGAAGCTACGGAATATCTGACGTGCGAATAACTAGAAGAGTTGTTGTTGATAAAAAAAAAGGCAAAGGATCTTTTACCGTCAAAAAACCAGCAGAAACGCTGAAGAAACACCACGAGCACAATTATGTCCGGTTTATCGTACATGTCACCTGGTAGCTTCGTTTATTGTTTTTAAAGCGTTTCCTTCTTCGTTGCCAAAACGCGGCAGCCCTATATTGACTATTTCGTGAACCGTTACAATGTTAGAGAAAATGTACAGGCAAGCAGACCTATCGCGTATGTGGTGCAAGACATCATTCGTTGTTGCATTAGAGGACAGTGATAGAAAATACCACAGAAGTCAGGCAGGGCCATTTTTATAAAAAAGGAAAAGTTTCGAGCAAAGAATTCGTTCTGATTTCATCACCGACGGAAAAGAAGGAAAAACAAGATTTGGTCACCTCTGGTCACCTCCACTTCGACGATGAATGTCTCGATGGACGTTAATAAGACGTCGATTGGTTCACTATTTACTGGCTGCTTCGTGGGGCGGCGCTAGGTCACTAGATATTTTGTGAAATACATGTGTGACCCATCGCCGTCCTCGGGACAGACACGTATGACCCGCCGATGGCGCACGCTGGCGTCAGCGTGTTAAGGAATATGGTCGTTTCTCGTTACGAACGGCATGTGAATATTCCAGTATTATTATGATACTATGTTAATATTAAAACCGATGTTTTCGACCATCGTGTTAATTATAAAGATAGCGGATTATTGTCGTTTGAGGGAAGTGATCTTGCGGACCCAAACTTTGCATCGAATCGTCATATCGGATCATTGATAGTCGGAATGACTATGGTGGAGTAGAGGCGTCGTTTTAACCGTGTAGAATACCATGTTCGGCTGAATCCTTCCCAGGCAACTGGTCGTGAGTTTTTGTAGGACGCCCGGTACGCTTAACATAACCATCCTTCAATTCTAGAAAATGGAATCGATTTCCGCGGAATCCCTCCCTACTTGTGAGGATGAGGGAAAAGGCAGCGAACTTGGAAACCTGATGCGACTGGTTATTTCATCATTAAGTTTTCTCTTAATAGATTGAATCCGGTTTTCGCCGTTAACGCGGATTTTCGCGAAAATTCGGTAACGATGAGGAATTCTGACCCAAGGAATTCGTAATTCATTTTCACTCGTAATTACTCGGCCAATATAGTTGCGCATATAAATGCGGCCAATATAAATGCGCAATATAATTCGTTGCACATATGTTCGAGATCCATTAGCGCGTTTTGCCTTTCTGCCACTTCCTTTACGAATTGTTACCGTTCCTGATCGAAGGCGCGCTGCTCCTCGCAAACTTTTCTCTCTTTTTCTATTAATTGCTGTTGGAGTGTCAAAATACCGTTTCGCTCGCAGCTGTGTCGGACGAGCTGTGTGTTCCTGCCGTTGTAATAAATTTCAAGTAAGCATAATGCAAGATATCAGTTATCAAAAAAAAGACTCAGTTATATATGGGAACAGAACTACACTTGCTTTTTTCGAAGCAATTTCGACATAAAAACATCGTTTTTTCAGCGATCGTTTTCTTCTTATTGTTATCGACTAATTATACTTCTAGCAATAACTAGGTAACGAGTGACATTAGATTGTAGTCAACCATATGTGTCACACTATTGCCATCCTGATATGTTCTTGCGAGCGCTGGTTCCACGTTAAATGGGCAACCCCGCGTGCTCCAAACTACATATACCCATAACGCGTATGTGTAAGGTCCCAGTTGACTAAAGATCAACGGTAAAGGCACGATAAATGATACGCATAAGTCCGTTGCTTCGCGTGAAATCCATTGCGATACGAGTGCCTCATTCTTAATTCTATTTGAAATGTTACTTGTGTATAATAACCTTTTTCCTTATATTGTGTCAAAAATCTTTTCTGAGAATCCAATTGTAAGAGAAAAGATGCCGCTAATCGAAATACCAACAGAATTACAAAATGTGGGGTCTATTTCATTGTCTTCGGCAAACACTACAGATTCAAGTTTGAAAACTATCCTTTGCAAAGAGTAGGTATTGAATCTCTCTCAACGGTTTGCTTGCAAACTAGCTGAGTGAAAACACAAGCCCACCTCGTTAACGTCGCTTTGTATTAAACTATTTTTTCCTTAATTTTCATAAGTTGCGGTAACAGAAGCTGCATCGAAAGCGATCAGATCGAGTTCAACAGTGTGTCGATGCACGGCAGATTTTGGAGAAAAGTTTCGTATGGAGGAGTTAGGCAACATCAATCGATACTGACTACGATGTAACGAGTTCGATAATTACAACAAAACGCCCCAACTAAGCTTCTGGAGTCAAGAGGCCGAAAACGCAGACGATGTCATCGAGGAACGACTCTCTCTTAAACCAGAACCGGATACCTTGACGTTTTTATTCTTCGCATGAAGCTCGTGCATGCGCTCTTACAAAAGACTTTACGCTCAGACGTAACGACGTAACCGATGTGCAATTCTAAACTAGCGTTTCTGTCCAAATTTATCTGTTGAGCGGCAGAGTGTTTGCAACGTCGTTTTGGTTGGACGTATTTGGGTGAACCACCGGGACTACACGTGTCGGCTACGCGTATCGAGTATGTTAAGCATGTGGACTTGTCAATTCGATGCGTAATAGTTCGAGATTTTTTAATGTTTCTTTGTAGCTTCTCGTTACAAACAAGCGCGAGTTCTTTGTATTGAACGAATTTATCGTTTGCGTGATTAGTCTGCAGCACATTCGTGCAACAGACTGAGTGAGGGGTATGTTAGAAACTAGTGAAAATCCCTCGATTTGGGAAAATCGCTGATTACTTAAACTAAGTCTTCGATCAGTCTCGTAAATAACATTTATGCGAGAAAGAATGAGTGATCCTAACTTCAATCGTATATTAAATTTTCGAAAGCAAACGTATATTCAATCTGAAGAGGTTCCAAAATTACTGGAAACACACGAGCTAAGATGATTTACTGTGTTTACTTACCAACGGAGAATCTCGTGTGCTTTCTATGTAAAGGAGGTCACCTCGCGAAATAGCAGAAAAGCGTAAATACTCACCTAAAGAATATCGCTAGCCCAAACAGCACCAAGATATTTTATGTATGTACGAAAGACATCCGTGCCGAACATTCTGTGCTGAACATTGGGAGAATGTTCGGAGAAGGTTTATGCCACCTGTATATCCTCGTTACGCTCTCTAAATGTCGTAAGAAGGTTCCATTTTTGAAATGAGATGTCCTGAAAACATATTGTGTCAACATTCAGAACATTTTCCGAATGCCCGAAAGTAATATTTTTTAACCTTTTACATGTTTACAGAGCTTTTAAAAAAGCTGTGATAGTGTTTTCAACAGTTTATAACAAACGGTTTCCGAATGTTTAAAATTACTGAAAAAAAGTCTTCTATACTTTTTGCGAATGTTGTAATAGTTCAATATGGTACGACAGATGTTTTTCGGAAAGTAATGTTTATATATGTCGGAGATGAAAGAACACCGGAGCCTTTGGAATTTTG